AACTGACCCTCTATTTGAAAATGAGTGAACAAAAGTGAAAGGGAGCTAAACATGTCTTTTTTCTTTAAAAAGTGGTAAAAGTTTCCCATTACTTAATGCAACCCAGTTGGGGGGGGGGAGTAGTGATGACAGAAAGAAAGGAACAAGACACCACAGAGAATCACACCGAGCCGGAAGCAAAGGCAGCCAGACTATCTTGTTTATTATAAAGATACGCAGTGAAGACAATCCTGGCTGCAGACCGAAGCCGGAATGGTACATGCCAAAGGTACAGTACTGGACGCAAAGTGCATTGTCACACAGATTAACGAAACAGAACTGTCAAAGCATCCCCTTTAGTCTTGCCTCGGGGAGGCGGGAATGGAATGGTGAGAGGCAGCATGGAGCATGGGCGACGCCGGCAGGTGGCAGCATGGAGCGTGGGCGACGCCGGCAGGTGGCAGCACTGGGGTGGGAGGACACAGGGTGGGAGCAGGGGCCAGAAAGGCACAATCACGTCTACACGGAGCACGAGAGACAGTCCCATGTCAGACAAGGACGCGAGAGGGGTACTACTGCACACTGGGACACAGGAACAGGGTGGAGAAGGGAGAAGTTTCTAGATGCCCGGGCAGGAGGCCCAGAGCAGCAGGTGTGCGGGCAGGGAGCGGGCCACAGTACGAGCAAGGCTAGAAGTCCTCTAGATAGAAAGGCACTTTCACGTGTACATACCACGGATGTACATTGACACAGTAAGTGACAGTCACAAGCAGGGAGCTACCAGTACTGCAACGGACTGAACCTCAGGGAGGGATCGAACTGATTTCACCTCGTGGGCAGGGTCACCCCGGAGTGCGGAGGTGGACAGCAGTCTCTCTCGGGACACGCCGCTTACTACACTTTAGATACCTACAATAACTGTCACACTACACAGGGAACTTGAAGAATGCTCTAAGGGGGGCATTCACAAATGCACGGTGTATATAGTCCTTTCACTAAACAGTTTCTAAGATAAGCGATATGGAACTCAGTACAATTAAACACACAAAATCCCCTATGTAATTTAAAGATACGGGTATCCATCTCATACCACATAGACCATATATACGTATTTTTAAAGAAAGCATACTAGGGCAAGTGAAAGCTCAAATTCCAGTTTGTTTTTGTCAATCTGACAAAGCTTTGCTAAAGTCACCCAGCACCAAGCTTGTCACTCCAGCCCTGCTGGAAGTTGCATTGGCAGCTCAGGGGTGGTGGGGACCGTGGGCTCTGTTCATACTGCAGGGCCTTCAGGTCTAAACTGCCTGCGTCTCAGGCCTCTGAGGAGGGTGGTGGTGGGAGATGGAGAGCAAGACTAAGTCCCAGCCCTGCTTCCCGCACTGGGGCCTCGCACTGCTGTGGTCAGGAGTCAGTGCCAGCCTGAATCTGACGTCTTGGGCCCCCTCGCCATCGGACCCGCAAGCTATTGGCCTTTGGATTTTGGGGGCTATAATGATCAGATTAAAATGTCTTCCATTTGTAGACTCCAACCACATCCTTTTTTCTTTTCTTTAGTTAAACCCATATGGGTAACTGCAAAAGTTGCAAAGATGGGAAACTCTTAACTGATAGAATGTGACATCTGGAGCTCAGCAGCCATTGGAACTGCTCCCACCACTGCAGGCTGAGTGGGACCCCGCTGTGAGTTATTCTATAGATGGCTCAATGGGCACTGACACCACTGTGATGTGTGAAGACACGTAGAAATCCTTGACAGCGAGTGTGGCCTGAACTCTACAGAGTGCCACTCAACAGGCTAAAACAGTTCCCATGACACCTGTCAGAAACACGTGCTGAGGACTTTCTCCCCATCCTAACTGGCCACTCCCGATGCCCTCACCCGACTCTAAAGGCTGAGCTGGCCAATCCACTCCAGTGGCTGTGTGGGTGTGACGTGGACACAGATTGGCGGTACCTACATGTGCGTGTGTGTGCGGAGTCAGGTATCTCTGCAGACCCCTCACGTACTCACCATCAAAGCCACCCTGCCCCAAGCTGCACGTGGAGACAGATAAGACCCTTGACGCTGGGGCAGAGGCCTCCGGTCTCCTTCCCTCTCCTCCCCTTCCTTCTGTGTGTTGCAGCCATGGTGGTAAAGAGGGTGGGGGCAGGGGGACCTGCTCAGCCACAGCGGCTGTTCATGGGCCTTGCTGGGTCTCCCTGTGGGTCCCAGTGATGTGGCCACCCTATCTAATCCCTGGAGTCTGAAGACTTTTACCCAACAAAGTAAAAAGTGACCTCTGCGGTCATACCCTTCACTTGAAATTGGAGAAGAAGCCTCAAGGTGATGACCAAAGAACAGGGAGAGAAGGCGGAGACGGGGAAGGTGGGGCGTGAGGGAGTGGCAGCAGCCGTCTCCTGCAAGAAGGCACAGCCTCGAGGCGCTGAGGGTCTGCGGCAGCAGGAGCCCTGCCAGCCAGGGCAGCAGAGTCCTGACTGCAGGGACAAAGGCAATTCCACCGTAGACAGAGACGCCGAGTGTGGAGACGCTAGGAGGACTGCCGGGGGAAGCCTGGAGTGAGCTCGCAGGAGGCAGGTTGGCAAAGCCGAGGCCAAGCTCACAGAGGACCCTGGAGAAAGTACATCCAGCCCCTTTGCTCGTTCCACGCCCTGTTAATGTCTTACCCTTCCATCAAGGAAGCAAAATGGTTTTTAAAGGACTGCGAGATTATTCAGGGAAGTTTCAACTTCCTAGGGATGTGGGAGGCCTGTCTGAAAGGGCCAGGGGCTATTGGAACCTCAGTCTCCACGGTGCCTGGTTCTCAGAAGCACTAAAGCTCAGAAGTGGTGAGGGGTGGGACAGGCTGTGAGCTGGGCCTCTTTTTCAAAATGGGCCAGAAGATTCAGAGGTTTTAAAGTTTACCATTCCTTGAAATACTTGAGGAAAAAAGTCACTGTTCAATCTATTTGTGAAATTAGGCCATAGGCAAGCAACCGGCAGATGACTCTGAAAGGTAACAGCATTGTCCCTTGGATCTCTTCCTGCAACGGGCTGATGAGAATGGCAAACTGAGGTAGAGGTCAAAGTCATAGTCCAGATCCAGACTCCTGTGTGCTCCGTGTGTTCAGCCAGGGCCGACCAATTAACTCTCAGGTGAGCATGCACGTGGCGGCCAGTTTAAAGCCAAATCTAGAAGGAAATCGATGGTCGTCCAAAGGGGTTAGTTCTGAGGCATCAATTTTTCTTAAAAAATAAACAAACCAACTTCTCATCAGTAAGTTCAATGATAAAGCAGATAAAATGCTCCTGGGTCTAGAGGTGATATCAGATGCTGCTGATAGGGCAAAGGTAATCTGTACCTTAGTAAAAACAACTGAATTCAAAGCAAAATGTTTAAGTTAAAGGGACAATATAGTATGAATGTGGGCTAAAGAAAAATCACATGAATCTGTGTGCCACGATGCCAGAGAAAGATAGTCCCTAATTGAGAGTTAACTACATACAGAGAAACAAAAGAGAAAGAAAGGAGGGAGGGAGGTAGGGAGAGAGAGAGAGAGAGAGAGAGAGAGAGAGAGAAGGGGGGGGAGAGAGGAGAGAGAGAGAGGAGAGAGAGAGGAGAGAGAGAGGAGGGAG